GGGAGTTCTGTGCTTGGAGAGAAAGGGAAGAAAGAGGAGAGAGGACCGCGGCTGCGGGAAGGAAACCGAGGCGCGTCCTCCAAACGCATGCAGGCAGGGCGAGGGACTGGGAGGAGAGCGGAGAGAGGGCGCCCCGGGATTCCAACCAGTTCCCTCCCAGCCCAGCATCCAGTCTGGAGCGACTCAGCCCAGCTCACAAGGCGCGCTTACTCACCTCTTGCTCTCAAGCTGCTGCTGCTGCCGCTTCTCTGCGGGGCGCAAGGCTGGCGGGCTCTCCCCCTCCTCCTCCCCCTCCTCCTCCTCCTGGCCCTCTTGTCCAGCGCCTCTCCGGCCTTGGTCGCCCCCAAGCGGCCGGGAAAGGGATGGCCTCCTCCTGCGTCCAGGACCAGCCCCCAGCATTTGCCGGCCGAGAGGCAGAAGCTCCCCTTGCTCTGCTCTCTCCTCTCTTCCCTTCTTCTTGGCGTCCAGTCCTCTTCCTTCCTTCCTTCCTTCCTTCCTCCCCCCCTTTGTTGTTCGAGGCAGGGACCCAATCGGAGGCTGCCTGCGCCTCCCTTTGTTGCGGCGGGAGGAGGGGGCGCTCCCCACGCTGAGAAAGCCTTCCCAGGAAAGGAAGCGGTGGCTTCCACCAGGCAAACTTCGGGCTTCCAGGTGTTTGGGACTACAACTCCAATGGAAGCACTACTTAGGCTAGTGTTTCTCAACCTTCCTAGTGCCTTACTTAAGCGATCTCTCGTTGTCTTCCAAGATCAGTGTGGATCCGTAGGTGACTGTGGAGCACCTATTCTTGACCTGCATCTTCTCCCGCAGTGAGGGCATTGGTTTCCAGGTAGATGGCGGTCTCGGTCGGGGTTGGCTTGACGCGCCTTCCTCTTGGCACGTTTCTCTCTTTCACCCTCCATTCATGCCCCTTCAAATTCTGCAGCACTGCTGGTCACAGCTGACCTCCAGCTGGAGCGCTCAAGGGCCAGGGCTTCCCAGTTCTCAGTGTCTATGCCAGAGATTTTAAGGCTGGCTTTGAGCCCATCTTTAAATCTCTTTTCCTGTCCACCAACATTCCGTTTTCCGTTCTGGAGTTCAGAGTAGAGCAACTGCTTTGGGAGATGGTGGTCAGGCATCCGGACAACGTGGCTGGTCCAGCAGAGTTGATGGTGGGGGACCATCGCTTCAATGCTGGTGGTCTTTACTTCTTCCAGCATGCTGTTTGTCCGCTTGTCTTCCCAAGAGATTTGCAGGATTTTTCAGAGACAGCACTGATGGAATCGTTCTGGGAGTGGCATGTGACATCTGTAGACTGTCCATGTCTCGCAGGCGTATAGCAGGGTTGGGAGGACAATAGATTTATAAACAAGCACCTTGGTATCCCTATGTATGTCCCAGTCCTCAAACACTCTCTGCTTCATTCGGAAAAATGCTGCACTCGCAGAGCTCAGGCAGTGTTGTATTTCAGTGTCAATGTTGGCTTTTGTTGAGAGGTAGCTGCCAAGGTAGCGGAAATGGTCAATATTTTCTAACGTTACACCATTAAGCTGTATTTCTGACATTGGAGAGGGGTTGGCTGGTGACTGCTGGAAGAGCACTTTGGTTTTCTCGGTGTTCAATGACAGGCCGAGCTTCTTGTATGCTTCTGCAAAGGTGTTTAGAGTGGCTTATAGGTCTTCTTCTGAATGCACACAGACAACATTGTCATCAGCATATTGGAATTCTAGGTTACAACAGATTTTGTTTTGGCTTTCAGACTGCTGAGGTGAAATAGCTTACTATCTGACCGATAGATTATTTCCACTCTGGTGGGAAGCTTCCCATCAACAAGATGGAGTATCATAGGGAAGAAGATGGAAAATAAGGTTGGGGCAATAAGACATCCCTGTTTGACTCCTGATTCCACCTTAAATGGGCCACTTTGGGAGCCATTGCTGTCCAAGACAGTTGCCATCATGTCCTCATGGAGGAGCCACAGGATGTTCACAAATTTGTTAGGGCCCCCTCATAGGGGGCCATCTAGTTGCAATTGCCTGATTTTGCTGCCCACAAGGATATTCTTGCTGTTGCTGGAGTGACATTTTAGAGGAGTGGTGGTTCTCATGAAACTTTTCCTTGATTTAAGTCTACTGGGAGGAGGCTGTTAGCCATAAAGTTGGTGGCTTTCACAATGTTCAGTCTTATTTCTCTTACAATTGGCACCAACTTCCCCTCATATATCGAGGAAAGTGCTGAGAGTGCCTTGGACTGCGAGAAGATCCAACCAGTCCATCCTCCAGGAAATAAAGCCCGACTGCTCATTGGAGGGAAAGATACTAGAGACAAAGTTGAAGTACTTTGGCCACATCATGAGGAGACAGGAAAGCCTAGAGAAGACAATTATGCTGGGGAAAGTGGAAGGCAAAAGGAAGAGGGGCCGACCAAGGGCAAGATGGATGGATGGCATCCTTGAAGTGACTGGACTGACCTTGAGGGAGCTGGGGGTGGTAACGGCCGACAGGGAGCTCTGGCGTGGGCTGGTCCATGAGGTCACAAAGAGTCGGAGACGACTGAACGAATGAACAACAACAATCCTTCTCTTTCTTTTTGGAAACAGATGAGGAATCCTCCCACCAAAAGCCCTCCTCCTACTGTGATTGGTTGGCCTCTCAGCCAAGGGGAGAGTTGTTTCTAAGACTCCAAGCGGGGAGGGGAGAGCAGGCATGCTTGGCGCATGGCAGCATGTTGCGCTGCATGTGCGGATGAGGGAGAACGCACAAGGCTGGAGGGAGGTTTGTGCCAGCATAGGGGTTCTATGTGGGAAGTTTGGCCCAATTCTATTAATATAGTTTTTCTTTTAAAAAAACAAAACAATATACATGGGTTATTTTCTTTAATCCAGTTATTAGTGGTTCCTTTAAACTATTTAAACTATTCATTTCCTAAAACATATTTTCCTGCCATAGTTTATATTTAACAAAATGTGTTGCTTTGGTCATTAATTATCCCATAGGTGGGATTCAGAATGCTCTTTGCTTATAGGTGAACTATAAATGCCAGCAACTACAACTCCCAAATGTCAAGCTCTATTTTTCCCCAAATTCCACCAGTGTTCACATTTGGGCATATTGAGTATTCCTACCATGTTTGGTCCAGATCTGTCATTGTTTGAGTCCACAATGCTCTCTGGATGTAGGTGAACTATTAACTCCAAAACTCAAGGTGAATGCCCACCAAACCCATTCCAGTTATTTTCTCTTGGTCATGGGAGTTCTGTGTGCCACGTTTAGTTCAATTTCATAGTTGGTGGAGTTTAGAATGCTCTTTGATTCTAGGTTAATTATAAATCCCAGCAACTACAACTCCCAAATGACAAAATGAACTGCTCCCCAACCCTCGGTATTCAAATTTGGGCATATCGGGTATTTATGCCAAATTTGGTCCAATGAATGAAAATACATCTTGCATATTGGATATTTACATTAGGATTCATAACAGTAGCAAAATTACAGTTATGAAGTAGCAACTAAAATAATTTTATGGTTGGGGGTCAGCACAACATGAGGAACTGTATTAAGGGGTTGCGGCATTAGGAAGGTTGAGAAACACTGCTTTAAACCCAAGGTCTGCATTTCACTATACAGTTGGCCTTCTGCATTTGCAGGTTTGATTGTTGGTAGATTTGGCAAGCCCTTTCCTGCTTTCCCACGGCTTTGGGGAGAATGTGGAAGCAGCGAAGGGCTTGGCAACAACCTCCTAAAGTCTGTGAGCCAGCAAACTTCACTGGGAGATGGATACCAGCAACTGAAGTCACTGCTACACCACTTCTGGAAGCTGTGGGGGACATCATAACAAATCCTGTGTAAGGTATATTTGAAACCCCCTGGAATCCATCAAGTGATTAGGTGAAACTAATTTTGCATTTAATTGTAAACAGTTTTGAGAGTTTTCCCAAACAAATGTGCATCTTTCTATAATAATATGTAACTGCATAGAACTGGGTTAAATATCCAGTATTAGTCTTGAGTCTAGGAAATATCTTGGGTGGTTGTGCAGAGTGATTGTGCGACCAGAACACAGGATTTGGGCATTTTTTTGAAGTCTTCTGATAGTAAATGGAGCAGAAGTCGTCAATGGAGAGTGATTACATCCAGACTTCATTCTGAATGAATCAACAATGTAGAAATAACTGTCATGACCCAACGCTATGGAATTCTGGGAGTTGTAGTTTTTTGTCTTTAGTTTTATCTGTCAAAGAATGCTTCTGATTCAACAGACTACAACTTCCACAATGCCATAGTGGTCTGAATAAATTGTTTATTGTATCACTATAAACCATGACATGAAATAATATACAACTTTTAAATGTATAGTATACACTTTTCCCCATGATGCCATAGGATTTAGCCATTGTAGACAACATGGTGTCAAAAGAGTAGGCACACCCCTTGATGCTGTTTTTTCACCTTTTACTTAAGATGCTCCATGCACTCATTTTTGCCTTGTAGTAATAAGTGACTTGTTATTTCCAGTTGACAGGAAACCTTGTGGATGTCATTCCTTCTATTATTATATAGAGGGAGAGACTTTGTGACAGTGGCTTATGCAAAGTTAGTAAGCTGATAGTCACTGTCAACTGCAACAGTTCATAAGCGTTTTGATACATGAAAATTAAATTGGTTATAGTTTTATCAAATGTTATTTAGAGTCATTAAAATTCTTCATAGAATGTGATAATTAGGAAGGAATGAGAATTATTATTTTAAGGGTAAAAACATATCAATCTTTAAAGATACTGTTCAGAAATGTTCTGAACTGTCCATCTTGTATTATAGGCAGGCAGAGTACAAACTTCAAAATGCTTGGATTAATAGCCAGAGATCAATTAGTATATTTCGGCAGTGTATAAATATTCAAATATGCTTCGTATTGGAGACCAAAATACCTACTGAATTAAACATTTTCTATTTGAATTAAAAACCCTTTATTGTTTTCTCATTTCCACTTTTACCACTTAAAAACACTGCACGCACACAAACAAAAACAAATATGTAAATTTTATTTTATTGCAAGCAGATATAAACATCTACTGCTTTATACAATCTACAGAAAGTTCCAAAATATGAATATAAAGAATCCATGTATCTACAGAAATGAAAGTTGAAAAATAGCACTGAAAATAAACTTTACATGAATGCAGAGGTATGTATATTATGTATATCTATCTATATATAATTCCTATGCTCCTAATATTTGAGACTGCTTTGATCCAGTTAATGAAGTGTTATAGCATAGTCTAAATAGTAGTTTTGAAGGCTGAATTATCATCAGATAAGTGCACCTATCATTGTACCATTTAAAACCACATTTCAGTGTTTAGTGCTGATGGCTACAGATATTTTTTAATGGTTAATGCACTGTTAACTATGTCCCACCATTCCCAAGAGCATTTTTGCCAGCCTACTTTACAATACAGAAAGAAAGAGTATTTAGCATGATACTGCACACACGACAGGATTTTTCAGACAACACACATTTAAAATTCTGTATAATTTGGACAAGATAAAGCTGTATAAACTGATGTGTGCAATTGTGCAACATACAATCATGTACATATTTCTTTCTTAATAATATGACAAAAATCCCATTAAAGCTTTCCAAGAAGATCTCACAGATGTCACAGACTAGTGCAGTTTTCTTCCTTTGATATCTGCATTATAAGTGGGATAAATAGGTTGACAGAAGAGAGAGAAAACATGGTAGACTTTTCTATTAAAGGGCTGAACAAAACAACAAATACTCAAAAAATTTAAGAGAGCTTAATTTTGTTACTAGCCATTCCCAAGGATACAACCCTCAGTGGAAATACACTTTCAGCCTTTGTGGAAATTTGATTGCTGCCTGAGGTTGTCATACTTTGGGCATATCCTGAGAAGACTTGACTCGCTAGAAAAGACAATTCTGGTGTGTAAGGTAGAAGGCAGCAGGAAAACCACATTCCAGATGGATAGAAACAATCAAGGAAGCAGGGCTATTGGTAATAGAGGGGCTTGGAGGCCTCTCATTCATAGGGTATCCATAAGTTGAAATTGACTAGGCAGCAGTTAACACATTCCACCTCACTTGTAAAGCATTTCAGACATTTTCTTGTTAAAGAGTTCACCAAGTCAGGCAAAGCTATTTAATTATACAGAACTTTTCTCTTAAATGTTATAACTATTCATTTTCTGACTAAATTCTGCCATATCAAGTTGCATGGAAATATTGGTCCATTGGCCTCCATTCTGGAATTCTCTCATTCAGTGCCCCAGTCTAAAGCTAGAGAAACAATTACTTTGCATCCAAGCAGAACTAGAGGCACCTAACTAAATAACGGATCTGTTGTCACAGTTTGGGCTCTCTGTGGGTTTCTATTTGGGACAGGGGAAGTAAAGAGAGATGGCATTCACTACTCACTGCATCAGTCATTTTGGTTTTCTTTGGAGGGGTAGGGGAGGACAGATTTTTGTACGTAGCAGCAGGGATGCTTGAGAAACCCCTCCACTAGGATTGACCAATGTAGATTCTGTTACAGCACAGTGCAAACAAATTTAACAAGAGGAAATTTTCCCTCTCTTTCCTACCTTCTATCAGCATTGTTATCAAATTGGATGGTCAAGACAATGACGTCCCCTGTTTCTGAGGCGTTATTGTATTCCAAGTTTTTCTTTGTCAGGGATAATCTGCCTCCTGTGAAATGATTTCTAAGACTCTGGTACTGGCTGCAGGAGTATTCCTGCAACTGCTGCTTTGATATAAGAAAATGTGCTCCATGCTATCTCTCATTGAGAAGGATGTGGCAGGACCCAAACTCCCTCCTCTTATGTCTGACCAGAGATAGGTACAAAGATTTCCTAGTCTGCCCAAATGGGAGGCCAGGAGCATGGAAAGGGTACTCCTGCTGCCATTTCTCTTCTCTGCTCATGTTCTCAGTCTGGAGGGTGAATATGATGGGTATCTCAAATGGGAAGCTTTGTTGGGAAATAGAATGGCAGGGTATCTGGACACTTCTTGAGTTGGATGAAGACTCATTGCTGACCCAAAGTTTCCCCCTGCTGTGCTACATTTGCATGTCTGTTATAGAGAGTGAAACAAATATTCATACTTAAATACATTCAGTTTTTCTTTTTCTTAAAAAACCCAATATACATGGGTTATTTTTTTTAATCCAGTTATTTAGTGGTTCCTTTAAATTATTTAAACTATTTTTCTCCTAAAACATATTTTCCTGCCATAGTTTATACTGACCACAATGTGTTGCTTTGGTCATTAATTATCCCATAGACAATTAAATAAGCCATAGCTGGTTTGTCCCATTTACTGGTCTGTTTTTATTTTTTAATATCCTAACAACTTTCTGAGCTAATATTTTAGGATTCGCAGCTGAAGAAGTAACCATGGGGCAAGCAATGTTTCTAGATTTGAACAAAACAATAAATCATGGCCCAAACGGACTGGAATTTGGATTCCTATAACAAACTATGACTTCTAACTGTGATTTGCAGTTATGAAACCACAGTTTGTAGGATGAATTCAGACACAGTCAGAAGTGAACAAACTATAATATTTTTTCCATTATCATTCAGGGTTAAAATCTGTATATAAATATTGGATCCAATGAATTCAGTGTGTTTGCTCTAAGTATGTCTTAGCTTAAATCTGATCCAATTAATCAGGTTTTAACCCATCACCACCACGCAAAACCTCCCCACATAGCTACAGTTATATGTTTCTGCCTGCTACATCTTATTCAATTTAGGGAACAGTTGAGATGTCATAAGGTTGCAGTAAACCCTTTTGTTGATAGGCAGACAGGAATGCAGCATTTTCAAACCATCAAGCAAGAGTCTTCTTATTTAAGGCTGAGGGATGGAAATGAGAAACACAAAAGCAAGCAACTGGTACAAAGCTTTATGGAACAAAAGCCTAAGAACTGTAGCAGCAGCAGTTAGTTGTAAGCAGTACGTGCTGCCACATTAAAAGCTACTCTTTAGAAGTGAAAGTAAATAAAACAAAAATCATTAGCTTTGGATGATTAAGGAGCAAATCTATTTCAAATTTTAACATTCATTGGAATTTCAACATTCAGTCACAACTCCACTACAAGCTAAATTCTGGAGCTCCAAAACTGATAAGTATAAAAAAAAGTCTAAAACATACATACACTTAAAAAAAATAGAAACGGTGTGTTAACAAATGTATGCGTAAAACAGATATATAAATAGCTATAGTATTGAAAAATATTTCAGTGCAAAGGCCATTTTAAGATTTCTAAAAATACATTAAAAATAATTTCGTTAACTACACTCAAACAGGAGGTTTATCACGACTACAGATATAAAATCAATACCCACATCAAGTTGATTTCTTAAAAATATATATATTTATATATATTTGTAACCAGTGTTTTATGTAGGGGACATTTCTACCCGTCATTCAAGTATGAGATGTCAAATAAATATTAGATATTACTATCACCATGGGAACAACACTGGGATTGGAAAGTGCTTTATCTTAGATGACAGAGATGCTGTGATGCTGTGCGTTAATAGATGGATGAGGGTGGGAAACTTGCAGGAACAAATATCAGATTCACATTCTCCATCTTTGGTATAATCAAGTTTTCAACAATTTGCCTTTTGAAACGTTATGTTTCCCTTTGCCCCATCTCTGCCCAGGGAAGGTGAAAGGAAAGCGACACATGATTTTTCTCCACATAGAAACTTTCGTTCCTATGAAGCAATTTTCAGCAATTTTGATACCCTAAATAAAACACTGGGATAAAAGAAACAAAAATGGTATGCATCAGCTATTACCAAAACCAGTACAAAGCTATAGCCACAAATGGAGTTGAAGTACAAGCTGGCTGTCAGTTTTCAAAATGACTGATTATAGTTTTTGCATTATTTTTTTCTCAAGCATGGCCAAGTCCACATTCAAAAAAGAGGAAAAACCCACTAGTGGTTATTTACTAAAACAAAGTATCAGAAAGCTCTACCTTCATATTACAGAAGGTTTTGTAAGGTTCTTTCACACTAAATAATGATAGCGCTCTGGGTCCACCTTCAATGCCATGCCATTATCCTTCTGAATCCTGGGATTTTCAGTTTAGGGTGGGATACTTAGAAATCTCACCCAAGGACCTGCAGTGCAGTTGTTCTCAACCTGTGAGTCCCCAGGCCTACAACTTCCAAAAATCCCACCAAGTTTACCAACTGTTAGGATTTCTGGGAGTTGAAGCCCAAAACATCTGGGGACCCACAGGTTGAGAACCACTGCTCTAGTGCATCACCAAACGTCAAAACCCAGGATTCTATAAGATGCAGTCATACTATTAAAATGAAATAATATTGCTGCAGGTATGTAATGTGAAAAAACCCTTAATTTTTTTCTTTCTCTTTTAAATTAAATTAAAATAAAAACTACATAGGGCTGTGGTTTAGTAACAGAATACATGTTTTGCATCAGACACTCACAGATTTTCAATCCCTAGCATAAGAGATGGAGCCAGAGAAGCTTCTGTCTAAACAGTATTCGCTGAATGGGCCAATGATCTCACTTGTTGTAAGGCAGGTTTCTATTTTCCTAGTTGCATAAATATTAATTCCTCCTCGTTTTGACATAAGGAATTTAGATCAGATATATAATTCCTAACATCTCTGTACCCAATTAATTTTAAAGACAACAAAATGGAAGAGCAGTGGCTTGCTGTTGACAATTTCTTAAGGCTAAATTCTTGAATTCAGTCTTAATTTGCAGTTCAGCGCTTGTAGTGGCCACTTCACCCATCTGCTAGCCAGCTTGACTTCTTGAGGTTTATAGAGAGCCTAAGTGAAAATGTATTGGTCTACAGTGGTAAAACAATCCTAAAATCACAGACAGTCCTACTTGGCGACTTACAATAAAATGGACATTAGAGAGTGTTTCTTGAAAGAAGATTTGCACAGAGGAAACACCAGTTTGTTCTACAGAAAGAGCAAAGGACAAAAACAAGTCAGAAACAGCACCTGTGAAAAAGCGTTCAGCGACTTTCACTAGGGATCTAAGACAATTGCTTCTAACTGACCATTTTTAACCACACAACTCAGAAGAGAATCATGGACTGAAGGAGGACTGTGTTCAAGTAATAAAGGAAGATAAATGACGGAAGCAATAATCATACAAGGGTTTTGAAAGAATGGAGTGAAATTATAGGGCTGTCCATTCTCACAGTGCCAGACTGTGTAGATAATCCATTGTTTCAACAGTTTAAAACATAAAAAGGAAGGCCAATACTCCTGGAAAGGCTTGTTTTCAGCGCTCTTGATCCAGTTTGTCAGAATATTACAGCAGATAGTAAAAGCTTATTGAAAATTTCCATAATTGTTTGCACACTGTTTTTTGAGGGGTCAGCAGCGGCAGTTCTTAAAGGCTTGAATTGGTGATGTGTCACAGACATGTTTCCAAACCTGAACCCCTGTGGTAGTATCCTGCACCAGAATCAAAACGTGTATTGGAATTGCCAAAGATAGCCGGGAGCACTGAATAATGATAGTTTCGCCAATGTGTAAACATTGTTTTTTTAGAATAAGAACTAGACCTTCTTGGCGGGGAATTCTTGCAGTCATTGCTCCTATATCTTGGTCTCGTCAGAGGGGCAAGAGGGGTGAATTCTGAAATGTGGTCCTGGCCATGGCTTGATACAGTCTGCCAAGAAAAGAAATGACAGATTGTGAAATAACACAACAACAAATGAAAATAATTTTATTGGTGTCTATCATTTCTATGGAGCAATATAGTTCCATTAATTTATAAAAATGTATTTCCAACAAAGGACAACAGGCGTACTTGTTTAAACTCAATGGAAGAGCAGTTTTGTCTTGCATGCAATAATTTCCTCCTTTAGTTTAACACTGTGCTCAACAGGGATAATAAGATGCTTGGCTTTGAGCTATTCCTTATGTTTCATTTCGCATGATATAACCTTTTGATATAGAAATGATTGATATCCTTGGTATTTTTAATTTAATATTTGTAAAGGGTATAATTATGTGGAAGACTTTAATCCTGAGATTTAATTTATAGTTCCCATATTATTTCAAGCAAAATGAACGTATTCTCTCAACCTTCACGATGATGGATGAAAATGGTTCTGCAATTCTGGACATTTCTGCATTAGTATCATTTTGTATCATTATTACAAAATGCTTTGTAAGTTCCAATTCATGCAGAAAAATGAATGAATAAATTTATGCTTTTGCTTCAGGTTATCTTTTGTGACTTGCACAGAGGAAACTTTCAGATTTGCCTTCAACAATGTTTTGTTCTACCCTGCTATTAATCTGAACTTAGAAAATGTTAAACGACTAAACAGGGATAGTTTATACCTGTCAGTTACAATATTTGAAATGCAAGTATATTAACTCAACAGTGATTGACATGCTGCAACAATTCCTATCAAAATGCACACAAAATTAAAAACAAAAACTGGTGGCTTTTAAAAATACCAACAAGCAACATACTATTACAAACACTTACCTGGATTCGGAAATGAATTGAAAACAAACTGTATTATTCATACTCACAGAAATCATGTTTAATATGGGATAGATCAGCAAAAACTCTGGAGGAAACAAGCTTTCCCTTTGAAAACATCACAGCACATCAAATGAAATTACCAAATGGTAACACTGTTACCTATCAATGATCTAATTATGCCTCGGAAGCAGAAAGGGTTCCTTCAAGGAGTGGCCCATCGCTGTTCACCAGTGCTTTTACAGTTGTTTTATGTTTCATACTCTTCTGCAAGGATGAGGAAAAACACTGAAACTACAGCTCAATCTGAACATCTCAAACAGAAAGTGTTAAAGTAGCATTAGGATGGATAACATATGCCAAATAGTACTGAAAATGAAAAAAGCAAGTGTATTTATTTGCAGCTTTGACTTTTGCAGATTTGGTTATTCATTGATTTGATTGAAAATCTCTTAAGTCCTCCAGGGTACCCTATGGTCAACTTCCTCTAGTCATACTGGAGGACCGAGAGATTTCTAGATATAACCACTCTCTAGGAATCTGTAAGCACTCCACTGTGATTCTATGATCAGCTTCCAGAAGAAGTTGACCATAGAGTCATTCTGGAAGACATAGAAATTCCTAGAGATGTAGTCTCTTAGGTTAAAAAAATAGGATTTGAGGTTTTTCACTTTTCATGGGCGACTTGTGCCCTTAATGCCAGTGAATGTGGAGGGCTCATTATAAGTTGAAAAGATACGTTATTAAGAAATGATTATAACGCTATAGCTGAGTACTTAGAATTTTATTCAGACATTGATTTTCAGTGGGAATGGATTGGGAAAGTAAAACTGGTGCTCACTGGTATGTGAAAGAATCACAGACGGCTTCATTGCCTTCCATTATACTATGTTTTGAGAGAGCTATTGAAGCGGCATGCTCCTGATACATTTGCTCCTTTGCTAATGCAGCTCTTCTTTATCCTTCTGGAAAAGACCTGTGATTTTTCACACACTTTACAGAAGTATAAACCATGCAAAGAGTAAGATGGAGAATACCCATAACTACATGTGAATTAACACATGGAGAAACACTTTTCACGACCCTTGTCAGGGGATTCTAAATGTCCCATTATCCCCCAATTGTACCGCTTTGCTTTTTATTTACTTCAGTCCTCCAAGAACACCTTTTGAGTCAGAGTTAACAATTCCATACATCTGAAAATGTTCAGCGTTTTTGAAGTTTTAAAGTCAAAACTTAACTAAATGGCTTAGGAGTTGGAAATAGGAATAATGTTAAAGAGAAATGAACACACGTTACATACTTGTAGAAAAAACAAAATGATTATATAGGGTAGGCATAAATGAGAATGAAATAACACATGCATAATTCTCAGAGAATCACCTTAGACAAATACACTGGCTGGCACCAAGGACCAGTTTGGAATCAGCAGAGAAAGTGAGTTTAGCTTTTTCATCAAAAGAAATAGTTTCCTCCAAAGCTTTTGCAAACTCACTGATTATAACAGCCCAAAGCAATTTGCATATGTGATAAATGCAAGCTTCCACAAATAGAAACAGCAAAAGACACAGATTTAAACATTTAAAATTCCCGCAGAGTCATTATTAACCATATTCTTTTTTAACCCAAACAGAAGTGACCAACTAAACAGCATAAAGGTGAGAAATGTAATGGATTTAGAAAAAAAGGCATGCTTGTGTTGTCCAGACTAGAAAGAGAAAATTTTAAGAATCATCTGGTTCAAACCAGATCATGCACAATTAACTCTGGTTTCTGAACCCAGCTTGCAGGACAAGCACACAGCCGTAGTTTGATGTTTAGTACAAACTGACAAGAGACAGAAATGCTTACAACAAAGGAAGGATCAAGAATGCAAGCTCTACTCAGATTTGCACATTTGATGCCAAATCATATGTTAGCATCACATCTGAACCACCTTGTTGCATCCAGGAGTTTGTATCACATCTGTGTTTGCCAAACAGTTCACTGAAGTGATTGTAACGCAAACACTATGTGTTTCCTCCTATAAAGAAAACCACCAGCACTTAAAAATAACAGACCATTGCAGTCAGGTTATTCACGTATAAAGACTGACAGAAAACTGCACTTATGATATGCAAATACATGTGAAAAAGGAAAGACAGAATGTCTACAGAAATTTTTTTAAGTATAGAGATTTAAAGTATGATATGTGATACAAAATATGGCTAACATCTTGTGAATGTGAAAACATTTTTAATTTCCTGTGAATTAAATGGCCAAGCATGCAGAAAAGGCAGGGGGTAAAAATCACCTTTTGCTCCATTAGAAACTTAGACTGCTTGAAGTCTGAGAAAGCATAAAGATGGTAGACTGCTCAACAGAAAGGCACTGATGTTTAGTCTGATTTCCCCAGAAGATTGACGGAAGAACCCGTGTATTTTTAGTTTAAAGCAAGGAAGCAGCAATTTAGGAAAAGAAGGAAAGAAGACAGGAGTAGATTGGGAGAAAGGGAAGAAAGAAACACAGTAGTAAATGTGATTAAATGCTAGAGTATATTACAAGAGACACATTAACAATGTGATGCCTTGGAATGGCATAAAAGAAGATTCAGATTGCAACCATGGAGGCTAGTCACTGCAAATATGCCCACTCAGAATGCCTTAGAATAACAACCCAATTTGCTTACTGTCAGTGCTAAGGGTGTTTATTCAGAAGTAAATCCCCGGAAGTTTAATTGGACTTGCAGCCTACCCTTGTTAAAGTTATGCATGCCTACTTACATGATATTAGATAATATTGTAACAATATTATAATAATTACACACATCTTGCATCAGACAAACATGCCCTGGATTTTACTGCATTCATTTCCTGATTGTGGGCTTCCTAGAATTATATGATTGGCCCCCATGAGAATGTAGTAATAGATGAGACAGACATTTAGTGCAGCATTTATATTAGATCTCTTGTTTAGGTCAGTTGAGGTCTGTACCGAACACATAGATTTTAGATGCTTTTTATCTATTTATTTACTATACTTATATCCTGCTCTTCCCATCTGTGTTAAGCAAACTTTCTAACAGGTGGCTTTCAAACTGTGATCAGATTTCTAATCATTTTGTTATACCTCTCTAAGAATTGTCGAAATGCTCCAGGGCAACTTTATGGTAACTTCTAATGGAAGTTATTCATTTCAATATGATTTGCTATTATCCATGAGTTCCTGCTCCTATAGTAAATTCAGAAATGTATGCCCTGAGGATGTGTAGGCCATATTATAATTTTGAGAAATTAGTATTGATGAACTGGTTACATATTATTTAGACCTTTTTTTGTGTCAGAAGCGACTTGAGAAATTGCAAGTCGCTTCTGATGTGAGAAAATTGGCTGTCTCCAGGAACATTGCCCAGGGGTTGCCCAGATGTTTTACCATCCTATGGGAGTCTTCTCTCATGTCCCCACATGAGAAGCTGGAGCTGGCAGATGGAAGCTCACCCCGCTCCCAAATTTGAATCACCAACCTTTCAGTCAGCAGTCCTGCTGGCACAAGACTTTAACCCATTGCACAACTGGGGGCTCAATCATTATTTAGATGGTGTTGAACCATGATTGATTGATATGAACGATCAGATTAGTTATTTAGTTTATACTGATCAGTCGTAGTTCAACTTTGACAAACTGTTGAATAAAATTGTAATCTATCAAAATGTATGATATTCAGGTAAGATTCTTTCGTGGTTAATCTATAAAACCATTCACTCCATGCTCTTTTTCCTGACCTATCCTTGACCAATACTGGCATTTCTATTTGCCTGAGAAATTTGATCTTAAATAATTGCTTTGGAATTCACTGTGCTCAGTTCATGAAAAAAAGTCTTGATCCTAATATTTGCTTTAATGCTCTTAGAACCAGTTTCTTTTTATTTATATATTCATAGAGAGGATTATGTAGACCTAATTCAACTAACAACCCTTGTTGACTGCTCTGTAAATACAATATGGGATGATCTTTGAGTCCAAGCAATAAGGCATACTTGCCTTGCCTCTAGTAACATCAGATGTCCATATGCGTGAGCAATACTTAAGTAACAGATTGCGCACATGCAAAACCCAATGTCTATTCAATGGAACTCTATAGAGAATTTCTCCTTCAGAAACCCATAAATCACCACTCTGATATTGGAGGATATAAATTGGATTTCATATGCACAAAACCTATTCAAAAAATTATATTCAAATGTAAGTGCGTCAAGATATTGCAAGTGGAACCTAAGGGAGTAATGTTTTTCCACTTATAATATATTCAGAGAAGTTAGGGAAAAATATTGTATGGACCAAAGATGAAGTACAGTGCTCTGATATCCCAAAAGATTAGGAAAAGCAGACAGCTGAAACTAATTTGACATTGCAAACTGTATTTGGAATATTATTAACAGCACAGCAAAGATTTGTTGTTTCAGAGAGAACTTTTAAGATATTAAGGAATTAGAGAAAGAAAGAGCTGGCAGAATTATAATGCAGTTATAGCAGTGATTTCTGTTATACTGAAAGTATTATTGAACTAGGAACCTACCTTTCTAGAAAATGGGTCTCAAAATATGCAAACAAAAGTCCTAATTATATGTCTAACCTATTTTACCATTAAAACTCTACTATTATTTCATATACCTAGCACCCCTCTGCTAGGAATCGGGACTTTTTAAAAATAAATACATGCCTTGTTTTGCAGATGAACACTGCTTGTGGAAACTGCTGTGAGCAAAACTGTGTCCCTTCCCTTTGACATGACTGGCCAAATCTATCATATATTAATGTTCACATCAGCTTAGTCTTAATACAATAGAAGAGGTTCATAGTACACTTAACAACTTCAAAATCCAGTCCCCAGCATCTTATGGGAGGCTCATTTGCTCTCCAGAGAACTGTACTTACACTAGGCAGCAATTACGATTAGGGATCATATGTTACCATAGACATAGAAAGCAAAAATAAGATACTCTGTTTTTACCTGGGTTCTTTCTGTTGCTGTTGGCCACAGCTGCCTGCATAAAACTTTCTTCAGTACATCTGGCAGAAGGCTCACAATTATGAGCATAGTAATACCCAGCCATGCAGGACCACTAGACAGCATTTGCAGGAACACATAGTACATCCTCTGGTAATTGAGAAAAGGCCTACAGATAAGAAGAAAAACAGAATATAGATGGGAAACACAAGAATATTAGTGATTTGCCAATTACAGATATTTCATACCTTTTAATGTGGAAGAGATAGTCACAATTAATCCTCAATCATCCCACTTTTTCACTAACTGGGTTTTCAAATTTAAAAGCCCCCAATTTATTTCTTTGCCACCTCCCACTACTCCTCTTTTGGATTAAAATGCTGCAAAATTGAGTTTCAAATGTGAAAGTCAATTGCATTCAATTAACTCATGGATGTGAGATTTTCCCTTGGTGTAGGAAAAAGGGAATATTATCTTCCATATTTGTCCCATATATGAATATCCCCAAATGACTTGGAGAACATTTATTTATTTACTTTATTTATATACCGCTTTTCTCAGCCCTCAGGCAACTCAAAGCGGTGAACAACATCAATACAAAACATCACGAGACAAGTATAGGGCAATTAAAAACAATTGTAACATAAATAATTAAACATCCATATAATAAATCATTAGTGCCTCAACAGTAAAATCAGAATCCAGTCTCATCATCCATTATTCCGTACTCCTATGTTCAATTACATTGTTTAATCAAATGCTTGTTCGAACAGCCAGGTCTTCACTTAAACTTCATTTCACTTCATCTTCACTTCATTTAAATAAATAAACATGTGGTTTTGTGCAAAAGGCATGTTTTCTGCACAGAAAATGTGATTCCGTCATGAGACTTTTGTGTGCAGAAAACAGGTTGTTTGTACAAAAGAATAAACTAATACACAGCAGAAATGATCCTCTACAACAGATTTGTCAACTGTCAGGCAAAGTATGTTTCAATCAGGAAAGAAATAACTTTCCATTCCTAAGTATAGTTTGACTATGATTTTCACTGTCAACAAAAACAGTACTAGGACTCAGCTGTGTTTGTATCATTTAGGTGGCGGGAGAGCAACATACAGTTCTTTGCAACCACCTCCCTCATTTACTTTAAGGTGTACACGGATTATACATGTTGCTGCTGCTTTTGTTCCGTAATAAAGAAGGACTGTAGCTTCCATGAAGTTGGGGAAAATATGGCTTTTTAAAAAGTGAAACTATGTGGTATTTCCTCTACTGGTAGCATGTTGTCTATGTTTAGATTAATGGGTGGGGTAATAGCTATATTGTCTGTAAATATATATATGTGTGTGTGTGTAACATGGTCAGCACAATCAGACTGAAGGTAGAGATTTCATTAATACATAACCGATGTTGTGATTCTACAATCACATATACATTACGGTTTGCACATGTTGCTTACCAGATGATCCCTCCCCAGAGAAGAGAAAAGACAATGTAGAAAAGTAACGACCCCCAGATCACAAAGTGGTTGATCCATGTCCAGTAGTGTGTATCTAGTGCAAGCTGTATAAAAAGAAATTTAGATAACATCTTAGGATGGATGGTGTTAAAAAAAGGAAGAAAAATATGTAATTGTTTTGCACTTAAGGCTTGCTGTATCCCACAGTTTTTTTAAACAAGGAAAGCTCAGCAACTATGAGGTTATAAGACCTTGAATTCTATTACACATCTGCTCCAATTTCTAGCATTGTTGAAAATTACTCATCACAAAACACGAGAACTGAATACAAATTACAGAAGATATTATATCTAGACAGTATCAGGACTAGATATCCTCCTTTTTTCTCTTACAAATTTGAGTAAATTAATAAATTAATATTTTTAAAAAAGATTTGACTTTGTAGATGTTGTGTTGATTTTCATGTTGTTAAAGTTACACATTTCTCAGCTGTCTGCAATCTTTTAGCTGCCTTCTCTAAAGTCACTTCTGCAAAGTTAGCTTCTGATCCATAGTCAGGCATGGAGACAGACATTAACCAACTTCTTCTAAACCAGAAATGAGTAATTCTGATAGATCCAGTGCCTACTATTCCCTCCTTGAGATCACAGGTACTACAGAATTATAGTGCTATATTCTAGTTTAAATGTCATGGCTTCATCCCACGGAGTTCCGGTGTTTGATGAGACATCAGAGTTCTTGAATTCCAAAAGTCCTTCCCTCAACTGATGATTCCAGATTTCCACAGGATGAGAAAAGCACAGTTAAAGGTGAATGATAACATTAAATTTGTCTAGTGTGAATAATCCTCAGGGACAGGTAGTTCCTCCCTCTGCTCAAAGCTGACATCAAATGATGCTGCTGAATTTCTCTGATAAACTTGCAAATGCCATTCAGAAAACCATACTATGGTTGCTTCCACGTCTTTTCCTAGTCTGCTGCTGAATTTTCAAGGGCCGGTGTTTGGGGTAAGGAGAATCAGACTTGGGGCCACATGCTATCTGCTGCCCACTCTAGTCCTAACCAAAAGAGGTACAAACTTTCAGGTCTTCCTGAAAGTCACACATGTCCCTTTGACTAGGAAACTCTGCTCAAAAATTCTGTATGTGTGAAGTAGATCATACCTTCAGGGTAACGGTAAATACTAGAACAGTAAACACCAGTGTCCCAAAAGTCCAGTTTCCAAACATCTATGGGAAAAGAAAATTATTGATTAAATTACATGTTATACACACTCTAGTGTAACAAGTGGCATTCCCAAGAGTGTAGTGTTATATGGTATATCAAGATGTTGACTGCATGTAACTTTTCCATATGAGTAGGCCTGACATTAAGTTTGCAACCTGTCTTATGTGCACAGTCTCTTTTGCAATTGGAGTAAACTTTTCTACTCACAGGACTCTTATAGAAGGATTACCTGGACTACCAAAATGCCTCCTCCAAATAACCCCCAAGGAAACAAAATCAGTAGTTGCTGGAATTATCCTGATTTTGAAAACTCAGTATTTGTAAGTGGTGCTGGTGTGTCCTCAGATATATTTTTATAAGGGATTTCCTCTCCTTTTGTCTTGTCTGAAAAAATACTTCATGCTACAATATTTTATTCTACGTACACTTCTTTTCTAAACTTAAGCACAGTGTTCCTTTGCACCATTATCACAATCAGAGTATTTTTAAACATGAATGCTTTTCTCTATCTTAAAGCAACATACATGGGGAGGGGGCGGGAAGGAGGGAACAGATCAATTTAACAAACAGAACAAATATCAAGCAAGAGGACAAACAGCATTTTAAAATTGGAATGCACATATACAGTCATGGCACAAACATACAGGCTAAATTCTATACATACATAGTTGGAAGTATACCCCACAGACTGCAATGAAAGCTACTTTTATGTAGCCATATATAGGCTCATACTGTGGGTACTGAATGCAAAATAAATAAAAGCAAAGCAATGATTTGTATCGGATAATTATGTTTTAATTGTGTTCAATACTAAATGTCTGTATACATCATATGATAAAAGTGTCTATGTGAATGGATTTGGGCAAACAAACTGTGCTTCTATGATCTCCCACAGCCTTGCCTATTTCAGGAATTTTTCCTAGTAAAATTTGGATGACATAGTCGGAAGCATTAGAAAATGACAAAAGGACAAAGATGCAAGAGCAAAGCAGATCTCCCAGCCTTTCTCCAATGTAATGAGTGAGGAATAGGACAACAGTTCAGTTACTAGTCATTTCCATGGTGCGGCCACAGATGAATGTAGATATTTCATCCTTATTTTTCTTAAATAATATTTTGGATTTTTGTAAAAAAAAAGTAGAATATAATAAAATATATAAGAACAATAAACATTTTAAAAACATATCCACCACAGCAAAGTTAACGTATTTTTCCCATGTTTTAATTTTTTGTCTTCAGGACAAGATCATAAAATATGAGGTATGTGGGAGAAAATAAAAATAAGCCCAATCTGATAGGGATTTCTCATATACATTCCATATGCAATTGTATAGGTACATGAACAACCATGTTATTCAGGCTGGCTATTTTAGATTTATTCAGAATTTGTCTATAATATAATATATAAAATAATTTGTGAATTCCTTTCTACTGCCCTGGACACTAGGACACGGAACAATAGCTTCAAACTACAAGAAAGGAGACTCCATCTGAACATTAGGAAGAACTTCCTGACTGTGAGAGCTGTTCAGCAGTGGAACTCTCTGCCCTGGAGTGTGGTGGAGGCTCCTTCTTTGGAAGCGTTTAAGGAGAGGCTGGATGGCCATCTGTCAGGTGTGCTTTGAATGCAATATTCCTGCTTCTTGTCAGGGGGTTGGTCTGGATGGCCCATGAGGTCTTTCCAACTCTTTGATTCTATGATTCTATGAATTAAGAGTCACAAGCACCCATAATTTGAAAACTTATCGATTGAAAACCTTCTGTGTACTTGGATCTGCAAGAGTCCTGAAGAATCCTTTTTTTTTTTTTGCTAAATATAATTTACTGATTTTATTTGGCTCTGATGGGTTACAAAAATAGGAGTATTTATGGTCAGTATCATGTCTGGTAAGAGAAATAATTCTGCTAGTAACCCAGAGAATCATAGAGTTGGAAGAAACCACAAGAACCATCCAGTCCAAGCACCTGCTATGCGGTCATATTAACTGAGTGGGGAAACGTTAGACCAAGGCAATGTATCATTTCTTGCAGCTGGTACCACCACCTCATTTCAAAAGATAGGCCAGGAAGCAGCAGATCAGATGTGGCTAAGAGGTAGCAGATGGAGAGATTAAAAGGTGGGTCCATCTACGATTGACTTTTATCTCATTCACTGCTGCATACAGTCTCTTTGACAGGAAAAAAAAGGTTTTCCCGTTTTGAATAATCAATTTTGAAACAAGAAAAATGTTAGAAGAAACTGTGCTAACCAATGTCTTGGCTGAATCTCATGTATTACTACAGTCAAAGGGAGCTCTTATTTGTTTACTGTTTCATCCACCTCAATTTTTCCTCTTGAGAGCTGGGAGGTATCTCCATGCCCACAAGAATAATAGTAAACATACTCCAGTAGCTATGTGTTAAAACAGGGCTACAAGATGGGAGACCTCTTTATCAGCTACTTCTATTTTTACACTTAGCTAACGAAAGAATTTTCTCAAGTGTACAAGGGAGTTGCACCTCACAAGGAAACTAGGATGACAAAAAGACAGAGAATGGAAGTTGTTTGTGCTTTCGGCCAACTAGAAACTGCATTGAGAGTTTCTGCCAAACTTAAATGTGAGAGAGTAGGTCATCCCAGAAGAACCTAAAAGAAGCATCAAATTTCTCTCTCCACAGGGTCTAGGAGGGTTGAAATGCTCTGCAACAAATTTCTGGACATCACCATTTTTAGTATCAGAATCTCTACTGAAATATTATTTTTCATGCAGAAAGTACTGATTTCTGCACAAAACAATGATGTGTGAATTTAGTGCAGAACAATAACAAAATACAGCCTTTTCATCACAGCAATTAATGTTGGAATATTATTTTTCATGCATTAAAATGTGAATTTTGTGCATAATAAGTCTTGAATTGTGAATAGTCTTTAAAAAGATGCATGCTTTTTAAAGACTTTCTTGTAGTGGGCAGAAAATTATGCATTTAAGAAGAAAGTTAGTGACAAATTATATCCCTAGAGAAGAGGAAGTTACTGGCTGTTACCGAAATATCTAGGTTCTGTGGGATTACAATAGTCTAGTCAGCAATGGAGGCTCGGTGGCTCAGATGCCAGTGGGTTAGGTTATAACACAAACTTTAAATGACCTGTCCTATCCTCAAAATAGCTACAGTACCTTGGATATCTCCATTAAAGCTCAGATTAAAAACAAGAGTAGATTTACCACCATACTGACATCAGGATGAAGATCTAGTTTGGGCAATAACCCAACTTATTCACTTGGAAAAAGTGATTACGCTGTATAACAAAATTTAAAAAGTCTGTTTCTGGTTTGAAAGTATTCCTGTTTAATTGTGTGGTAATTACTTTGAAAGTAGTTGTTATACTCCAGAAACGTCATTTTTGTGGCTGCCACAAATTATGTTGAATTGGTTGAGATGCTATGAGATATTCGCTGGAAAACTATAGCAAAATGTGTTGCAGGATGTCCCACCAAACAAAGTTTTTGCAGTTTAGTTAACCTTTCCATGTTTTTTTTTAAATGAAAGAACCAATTAAGAAATGATGTTTACAACCCAGGAACAAAATCTATGTTGCTTAGTATTATCCAAGTCAAAACTCCTACATTGACTTAGTTCCAAAAATAAGCCAAAACTAGGCACATGGGGAGCAAGATCACATTTGATCAGCTTTTTCAATTATTTTAATATAGGGGGATAAGGAAAGAAACAGAAATATAGTATTTTTATGGGAAAGATTTCATCTGTTTTGAAGTTGGATAGAGAAAGAGGAAAACACACATCATGACAAAACCACAGCAGTCTTACCATGTGAGTGTTGGCTGTCATTAGCTGAGGATAGGAAGAGAAGCAAGTAGCAAAAAAAGGAAAAAAGCAAGACACAAATAAAATAGACCACATAAATGTTAACATGCAAATAAAAAGCCAAAGGACCTTAAAATTATATTTAGTGCAATTTAACAAGTGCATATAGAAATGCTTTGAATGGGTGCATGTTGTTCTTTTCAAATTAACAGTGAAGCTTTTTACTATAACATCTCAATGTCAATTTATTTTTATGGAAGATATGAATAAATGAAACAGTTAAAAATACTAAGTATGTGCTAATGGCAAAATGAACCACATTAAAAGATATGGCTCACAGAAGAAATTTGTTTTCCCTAATTGGACATCATTGCTGCTTAACTAAAATTTATTCCAATATTTATTTTATGATACCTATATAGAATAACCAAGTTTCTGAGGTGGTTTACGCAGATTTTAAAGTATTAAAATATCAAAAGACATAAGATAATAAATCATATCCTGTCATATCCAGCAACAGAACAATTATGGAGCACTCCTCAAATACTACAACTATGGATGCATTTATACATGATAATCCAGGTTTTTCTTCGTGGTCTCTGCGAATGCACACTTGTGGAGAGACTGCGCCTGCGCGGGCTCCAACGGAAACTTCTACTTTTCAAAAACTTTTCAAGTTTTGGCGGTAACCCCGCCCAGCCCCGGCAGGGGATAAAAGGGCGCCCCGCGCACACCGATCCAATTCCTTTTTTTCCGCCGCACGGCTCGCTTCGGACTTCTAGGAATAGTTGGATAGTATAGCGATTCTCTTAGGATTGTCTCTCGAGTTGTTGACCGGATTATGTCAACAACTCGCTTCAAAAGATGCGCGAATTGTCCGAGGAAGATTCCTGATTCGGACAAGCACGCTCTTTGCCTTCTGTGTCTCGGAGAGGCACATATTACTTCTTCGTGTCGTCATTGTCAATCGTTGACGGCACAGTCCCGCAAGAACCGAGTTCATCGGCTTCGGTACCTTCTGTACCAACAGACGTTGGCCCCGGTACCTTCAACATCGACATCGGCGTCGACGTCGGCTGCGGTATCCGGACCTTCGACGTCAGCCTCGAGATCGAAGGCATCGACATCTACATCTGCCGATCCCTCGACGGAGGCCGGGCCTCGCCAGACAAGGGCGAAAAAGGCCGCACAGAAAAGGCCAAGACCAGCCATGTCGACAGTCTCGAAGGCCTCTGTGTCGACAGCTTCCAAGGCGGCAAAGCCTACGAAGCAGAAGGCTCCTTGCACGGTCACGACCGAGACCGTACGCATTCGACACTCATCGACCAGCTCGGTGGCGTCGGTGAGATCGGCCAGGTCCACGAGGTCGACATCGGCGACCCCGCCATCTTCCACGGCGGTTCGCATTGCTTTCCGCCGGTCTCAGGAAGAGTCACGGCGTGCTTCCACCTCATCCTCCGTTCCGCCCACCCCGGGCAAGTCGGTGTCGAAAACAGCTCAGCCGCCGGCAAAGAAGAAGAAGACGATGCCGCCCCCATCCTCGTCTTCCTCTTCTTCCCGAAAGCAGACCACTGCCTCCTCGGCCACCTCGTCTGCGAGGTCATCGCTGATACGGCCTGCTGAACCTCAGCTACCCCCGCAACCGGCTCAGGTCCCACAACCCGGGCCGGAACAGCCTTCGGAGCAGCCCGAGTCCCCGGTGATCTCGGTGGACACGGTGATCGAGGCACCAACTCGCCATGTGACAGCCAGACAGGAGCTTTTCCCGCCGGTCACGACGTTGACTACTGTGACAGCCAGACAGGAGACTTCTCCAGTGCTGGAGACTCCAGAAAGGGGCAGACAGACGATGAGACTAGCCCGTGCCATTCAGGCCTCGGCTTCTAAAGTCCCCCCAGTGGCTCCTCTGCAGCTCGCGAGTCGGGATGTTTCCTCATCCCCTCCTCCCCGATCCTTGGCTGCTGACGATGAAGAAGATGGCGAGTTACCGGGATCGGTACACTCGGGATCGGTGTTGTCTCTCGGGATCGAGAAATCACCTACCCACGACGCCTATGAGGCTGATCCGCCATCCCCTACTGACAATGTTCGAGCCTTTGCGGATCAAATGGCTCGCATGGCTGAGGCTCTAGGCCTGGAGGTCAAGCAAACCTCCAAGGCAGTGCTGGACCCAGTGTTCAAAAGGGTGCAGAGGGAGTCCCCACCCGCTCCTCTCCTACCCTTCCTTCCCTACCTCCTCGAGGTGATTCAAGGCTCCTGGAAGACCCCTTCATCCATCCCTCCAACATCCAAGAAAATCGAATCTTGGTACAGGACTGATGATGAGGGCTTGGAATGGCTGAAACACCACCCCGACCCTAACTCGGTGGTCGTGAAGGCGGCTCAAGGGTTCGGAAGGCAGTCCTCGGCGCCGTCCGACCGTGAGGGAAAGAGGTTCGACGCAGTGGGCAGAAAGCTCTACTCTGGTGCCCTCTTACTGGCCCGCATGGCGAATTATGGGGCATGCATGGGAGCGTACCAGCAAATCCTCTGGGAAAAGGCGGAACCATTCTTCCAGAGGATGTCTGAGGAGGATCGTGCTGCCATGACCACCCTGGCACAGGAGGCAAATTCTCTGGCGCATCACCAGATGCAGATGGTCAAGCACACAGGGGACACTGCCGGAAAAATGATTGCTCATGCAGTGGCAATCAGAAGGCATGCATGGCTTAGATCCTCTGGCCTCTCTACTTCATCGAGGCAGGTGATCGAAGACCTTCCCTTTGATGCCCTGGGGCTCTTCAATGCTGGGACGGACGACAAACTGAAGTCAAATCACGACTTCAAGACTTTGGCTTCCAAGTGCGGGTTCGAAAATCAGAACCAGGCACAAAGAACCAGATGGTTCCAATACAGGCGCCGGCACACGATCCCGTACCGTACCATCCAGTACCGCCATCCAACCCGTCCCCTGCAGAACTCCCAACAAACCCAACCTCAACAACCCCAACAACAGCGGAGGCAGCACCAGCAGCAGCGTTCGCGCTCTCGCCAGGCTTCAGGAGGCAACCAGGCCAGGCGCCGCATTTGACGCCCTTGCGGACGATACCGTGTACAGTTTCGTTACCGATGTTGTTCCCATGTCCCTTCCAATGGTACCCGCCCTCATCCTTCCATCCGGCTCGACACCGTTCGGAGATCGCCTGACAAACTTTCTCCCTGCATGGGAAAATATCACCTCAGATGCATGGGTTTTAAAGATTGTCGACGAAGGCTATGCATTGGAGTTCGAAGAGCTCCCACCAACAGGACAGATTGTCGACACCGAACCATCCTCGGCAATTCTGTCAGAGATCGAGACCTTGCTTCTGAAGGGAGCAATCTCCCCTCTCCCGGACTCCCAAAACCATCGAGCCTTCTTCTCCAGATGCTTTACTGTCCCAAAGCCGGATGGCTCCCTCCGCCCCATCCTCGACCTCAGAGACTTAAACTCCTTCATTGAACCTCAAAAGTTTCGGATGGTGACGGTATCGTCCATTCTTCCTCTCCTCAGATACTGGGACTTCTTCGCGTCCGTCGATCTCCGAGACGCTTACTTTCATCTCTCAGTCAGGAAACATCACAGGCGCT